ATTATTGTGTCATATTTTTAACCTGTATTTTAATTTCAGACTAAATTTTTCCTAAATCTATTTTTTAAAGATAGATTAAAGATATTTAAAAATTTTTTTTTCAACGTTTTTATTTATTTTTTTTTGGGACAGAGAGAGACAGAGCATGAACGGGGGAGGAGCAGAGAGAGGGAGACACAGAATCGGAAACAGGCTCCAGGCTCTGAGCCATCAGCCCAGAGCCTGACGCGGGGCTCGAACTCCCGGACCGCGAGATCGTGACCTGGCTGAAGTCGGACGCTTAACCGACTGCACCACCCAGGCGCCCCAAGATATTTTAAAGATAGATAGGTACTGGAAGCACCTGGGTGGCTCAGTCAGTTAAGCGTCCAACTTCGGTTCGTGAGTTTGAGCCCTGCGTCAGGCTCTGTGCTGACAGCTCAGAGCCTGGAGCCTGCTTCCAGTTCTGTGTCTCCCTCTCTCGCTGCCCCTCCCCCACTCGCACTCTGTCTCTCTTTCAAAAATAAGTAAAACATAAAAAAAAAAAATTTTAAAGGTTGTAACTACTGGGGTGCCTGGGTGGCCCAGTTAGTTAAGCGTCTGACTTTAGCTCAGGTCATGATCTCACAGTTCCTGAGTTTGAGCCCTGCATCAGGCTCTCTGCTCAGAGCCTGCTTCTGCTCCTCTGTCTCCCTCTCTCTCTGCTCCTTCCCCCCAACCTGTCAAAAATAAATAATATTTTAAAAATCAAATAAAGGTTGTAACTACTGTTCTTTTCCTTCTTCAATATACTTATAAAATGTAAGTAATATACGATAGAGATTTTAAGGTTTATTTTGAAGATATTTAATTTCATTTACAAATTGAGCTAGAGGTATCAGAGTCAAAGTTCTAATTATTAGAATATAGTAAAAAGGAACAGATTTATACAGTTATATCTCCTAATTATTGATTACTAAAATCGCTTCTCGGCCTTTTGGCTAAGATCAAGTGTGATTACTAAAGAAATCAACACGGGTAATGCAACATATTGGCTTACTATTTTATGTTCATTTTCTATAGTAAAGCACATGGGATGGCTGAAATTGCAGATGCCCTTTTTCCTTGGATGGATCTCAACCAAATATCCCAGAACATCTGGAATCTTTCACTGTGGAAAAAATAAACAATAAAGGCATTTCTCAAATTTAATGTGTGTGGAAATTTGATGAAGTCCTACTGAGGGCTTTCTTCTAACCAGGAGAAAGCTGGCTGGTTTGTTGCCAAGAATGCCAAGAATAGTGGCATTTACCTATAGCCTCACATTAGTCTGTCAGCCTTATGAATCCAGTGGCTCAGTTGCGATTTCCCCTTCTTTCCTTTTCGTTTGTTGCTGAACCCACTGCCGTGGCTGAGTCACTCCACTGACCTTGCTCTTACCAAGGTCACCAATGATCTTGTATACCCAGTGGACACCACTTATCTTTCATAACCTCTTTGCTACATCTTTGCAGGATGTGCAGGGCCTCTGCTTTGTGTTCGCCAGTCCCATTTCCTTTTCCTCCAGGGCACGCTGCCTAACTACATTTCCTAGGCTCCGCCTGCAGTTAAGTGGGACCATGTGATTAAATTGCTGACTAGTGGAAAGTGAGAAGTGATTTGTGCCACTTCTGGGCTTGGCCACTTCAACTTACTGCACTCGTGATTCTCCATGTGTACTCTCTGTCTCTTTGTAGAGGATCTAGTAGGAGACTCTAAGACCTTCGCGGATGGCAAAGCCAAATGGTGGAAGGAACTTAGGTGCCAGAATAACTGCTTTGAGGCCTCCCCTCTCCTTCCCACTGACTGCAGTGGAGTGTGACCTGAATAATAATGAAACTTTACTGTGTGAAGCCATTGAGGTTATTTGTAATGGTGGTAGGCCGTTACCAATATTTCCTTGGCTTCGGTGATGTTACACTTGTGCCTGAATCTCCTTTCATGCCTCTGTCCCTCCATTTCTTTTTTTTTTTTTTTTTTTTCCTTTGAGAGAGGTGGGGTAGGGGCAGAAAGAGAGGGAGAGAAAGAATCTTAAGCAGGCTCCGTGCTGTCTCCACAGAGCCCCACACAGGGCTCTATCTCATGAGCCATGAGATCATGACCTGAGCTGAAATCTAGAGTTGGACACTTAACCATCTCAGCCACCCAGGCACCCCTCTCCCTCCATTTCTTGTTTCTTGGACTTCTCTTACTTATTCCTTAAATATTTTTTATTTAAGTTTTCCATGGTCCACTGTTTTCTTTCTCTACATGTGTTCTGTGAACAAGCTTATATACACTTTCATGGTCTACTTCTAATATGTTGATGAGATAGAGTAGTAAATGTGTTCCTCAATATTAGATGTAATTTTTACTAAATATTAAAAAATACACGTATACTATCTATCTGTCTATTGTACCATGTTTTACAAGGTTTTGTTACAACTATGATTTTGAAATCTTTGTTATCTATTACCTCAGCTTCCCCCTCCCTGGTAAGTTGAGAGTTGATTATATTTTTTGTCTAGTTCTTTTATTGGACCGTAAAAACTCCTCCTGCATTCAACTACTGTTTATTAAATATGTATGACAAATGGTCTTCTTCTTTTCACCGCAGTGCCCGTACGGTGCTTTTCATGGAGTAAGCAATTGGTGAATGTTGGTTGAGCACAATTATTTATTTCATGCTTGCTCTGTATAAGGCTCTGTGCTGATGTTAATGTGAGACAAAATTAAATATAAGACTTGATTTCTATTGACTTCATCTTTCTCTATGCCAAACATCCTTCTACTTCCACCCCAATTGACAAACATTCTAATATTTGCAGTTCTACAAATAAGACTGCCTTATAGTCTCGGTACTCAGAGGGGAGTCCAGAACTAGTGAGGCCCTAAGATAAATCCAAACCTTGACTTTACTACTACGATAGTAGATTAATCAAGGTTTTTACTTTCTCTTTTTGCCTGGAATTTGGAAGTACTAGAATGTGGAGAACTACCTGCTTTTATCCAACATCAAACTGCATTTTCTTCTCACCTGTATCATTTGAGACTACAGCTTACTTCGGATCTTTTCTTGGGTAATTCCATTCACTGGAATAACTTTCCTCTTTCTTTCTTTTAAAAGATTCTTAGTCAGATGCACTTATCAGAGCATTATTTTATTACAGTGAGTAGAGGTGCTTTGTGAATTTTCTCCCAGGGTCAAACTGTTTACAACATCTTGATGTTTATTCTCAACTGCCATTTCCTTTCAATGTCTTTAACTATTTTGGCACTGTACTACATACCTCGTCCTTGGATTTTTCCAGTTGCTTACATATTTGTTTTCTTTTTGCATTACCTTATTCAAGCTTTCCACCCTTATCAAGCTTTTTGACATCTATTTTGTAAATAATTTCATCAACTAGTGCTACTTTTACTATTATAATTACCACTATTACTTGTACTACCATTTCTATAGCATTACAATTTAGTTGCTGGATTCTAGTATCAACAAACAGCATCATTAGTGAGACAAGTTCCTGATCATGGTTGACTTCTAAGTGGTTCTGTTTGCTTGTGGCAAGATCCGCCTGCCCATCAGTTAATTGATAGTGTATGTTCACAACGGAAGCAACAGAGTTTGTTGGCTTTGTTTTTGTTTTTGTTTTTTTTGTTTTTATGGTAATTGCTTCTGTACGGATACAATGTCATGAAAATTTTCATAGTACATAGGATTTTTATTGATTGTAAGTCTAATAGTAAATGGAGAATGTCTGATTTTAATGATTCCGCAGATGAAATGACCCAGAGGGCACCCCTCTCAATTGGCTGAAAAAAAATTTCATTTATATAGTATTATTTACCCATTTGTGTAAATAAAGAAGGAAAATTCACATTTTAAAGAGTCTAAAGAGCTTCGTGACTTTGAGAAAATTACCTAGCCTCCCTTTGCCTCATTAGGTTGTAATGAAATTAAATGAGTTGGAGCAATGTTTGGTACCTAGTAAGCACTCAAAAGTGTTAGCCATTTTTATTATTAACTAATGCAGCAAGTGTAAATATCTGTTCTTGGGGATCTATGTCTGCTGCTGCTGATAGTCATGATCATACAGGAAAGAGAATGTCCCTCATTCTTGTCAAATAAACACAAATATGGTGTATTTCTCTGAATGCCAATAACATCTTGAGGGTTTGGAGAAGCACAGTTTATGATGGTTGCTAAGCTAATGAAAGGTTTTTTTGTTGTTGTTGTTTTTTAAAGAAGAAAACAGATTCAGAAAAGATGAAAAATTTATTAGGACTAGTAGTAGATTCCTTGGGAACTTTTGGTTCATGTCAAACATGTTAGCAACTTCTTGTTTGCTCAGTTCGAAAGCAAGAGAATAGCCCCAAGTCAGTGTTTCTCAAAGTGTAGTGTGTGAAACTCTGTCCTCAGACTCTTGGGGTGGATGCTTGTTAAAAAGGATGATTTCCAGAACTCTTTTGGGACCTACTGATTCTTTGAAGGGTTAACCAGTATCTCAAGTGCTTCTTATATAACCTTAATTTGGAGACTTCGGGCATAATGAGTAACACAGGGACAAAGTATCCTCCCTGCACTTGAGATTTGAAAGAATCAAATTGGGCCAAACCCAGGGCACCGTTTAGGGCAGCCTGCTCCGCTAATTGAGTTGCCACATTTGATGCTTCGCCTGGCCATCAAGCATCTCCCAACAATTGGCTCCCTTAAGATCCAAACCTTCCTCTGCCATTACAGTTGTGACTGGCAATCTTGAGTTCCTTTGCTCTTTTCATCAACAGTAGGACAAGAAAAGGAATTTTGGCACTCTAGTGATTATGGAAATCAAATACGGGCCTGTTCCACCTTAAAGGGCCTAGGCTTGCCTAAGTGCTTGGGTCTTGCAGAGTTTGGGCACCACCATATTTGGAGCGTGCCTACTTTGGGGCGGGAACCTCCTTGAGAGTGATTAGGTCAGCGCTGGGGGAGGTGACCTTGTTTGGTTTCTGGCACCCGAGAACAGTGGTGCACTGTTTCTGCTGCCCCCGTTTGCCTAATTGGCCCAGGCGCTCCACCAGAGCAAAGCCGCCCTAGAACTCCTCGCTGGCCGCCCCCGCGGCTCGCAGCTCGGTAGAGGCGGGAAAGCAGCGCGCCTGCGCCGTGGGAACCGGGGCCGGAGGCGAAAAGCGGGGAGCGGAGGGGGGCCGTTGGAGCCGAGTAGCGTACAGAGCGGCGTGTGACGCGGGGACGCCGCGCGCTCCCAACGTCGCCCCGGTTTGACGCACACGGCACCAAACTGTGAGTTTCAGGGGTTATTTGGTCGGATTCTCCGGGACTCGAGTGGGTTTCGGGCCTCTGGGCTGTGGCGGCGGCGGGATTGAGGGTGGCGGAAGAACTTGGGGGACCCGACCTTCGGCGCTCGGGCCCGGGGAGCTACGCCCTAGGCTGGGTCCCAGCCATCCAAAAGGACGCGTTTTGCCGCACAGGCTAAGATGGCGGCGGCGGCCGAGGAGGCGGAGTTGGTGCTACACAAGGAGCCCGGGCCCCGGGTTCGGGGAGGCGGCGGCCGCGGCGGCCGCGGGGGGCGGCGGAGCCTGAGGTGAGCGGCGGCCGCCGCCGCGGGGCGGGACTCGGCGGAGAGTGGGTGGGGGGGGGGGGGAACCTTTCCGCGGCGGCGTCGGAGGATCCGGTAGCGGACACAAAGGGGCTGAGCTGGGCACTAGACTTGGGGGTTTTGTTTAGTCACATGAAGCCGAGCAGCCAGTGAGCAGTAGGGGGAAGGGGCCGAGATCCGGCGGCTTGGGGAGCCTGGCGGTCGCCATTGCAACGCACTGAGTAACGGGGCGGTCCGAGAGCAGTCACCAACCCCTCTCCGGGGCTGCTCGGTTTGGGCCAGAAGCGCCAGCTCTGGCATTAACTGCACACACCCCTCCCCTTACGTGGGACCGGGACCGCATAGACCTCCCCTCCCCCTGTTCTGCAAGATCTTATGCCGCTAGGTGCCTGGGAAGTAACAGCAAGAGGTAAATCGCCCAAAGTGTTTGGGTTGCCAGGGGCTTGGTGGGTGTCCAGCTAAAGCTTTTTGCTTCTCCAGGTCTGATTCCCTGGCCTTTGTGTCCCTGGGAGCTTAATCTCTGCCAGAGGAAAGCAGGTGTGCTCCACTTCTCCCGTGAACCTGAAGATGAGTTGTCCCAGACCCTTCTCAGTGATTGGAAACTTAGGTGGTGGAGCTAAAGGTTTCTTGTTACGAGACTTCCACAGACGACTCTCGTGTTGGGATCCATCCATGGTTTAGCAGCATTAGTGGAAAACTTTCCTTGAACTGCCTAAGTAATATTGACATAAATTTAGTTGTATAAAACTTTCATGTCTAGACTTCAAATTTTGTGTGGTCATTGAGAAGTACTCAACAAGGGGGTAAACACAATGGGGGCCTAAATGATGGTCCTGTTTTGTATACAAGTCAATAATTACAACAGGAATACCAAAACACCATCATCTCTTCTGGCCAGTTCTGACTAATGCCAGGCTTGTTGCATCTGGATGATAGATTAGATTTGCCTTAATAGTATATTGCCTCTCTGCAGTAGTTTAGTTACATTTCTTTGGTCCAAGAAGAAGGAAAGCATTTCAAAAAATAGACAACTCAAGTTACTCAAAGGAAACCTGCTGTTTGCCTTCAGTGTCATGTGTAAGTATCCAGGGAAGTTGATGGCAGTAATACTGCTTTGGTAGCTTTGGTGAGAAAAAATTAGTTTTTATGAGGAAGTTAGAATTTCGACATTTTAATAGGTGAAACATGAAGGCTTGACCACTGTTGATGCAGTGATACGTATATCCCTGTTAAAACCTCTGTAGTGTGGATTTTAGAATTGTAAAGTTACACTGCACTTACGGCTACCTCATACTTTGTATATTGGTATTAACTAATGTTTGACGTACAGAATTTGGAAACAACTAATGTTTTGGCCAGGTCACGTTAACAAGAGTAAGTTATGTGATTGCAGGGTTAAAGCACATTTGGATTGTTAACTTTAGATCTCTGTTCAAATTAAAATTTGAATTTTTTAATATGACTTAAAACTTTCATTTTCCTTGCTTCTTTCAGATACAGATTTTCCCCCTTTAACTTTTCATCTTTTAATAGAGAACACTCTTACTGTATTAACGAATAGATACATCAACATTGGCAAAATGTGTTACTGAATCATGTGGTTTTGGAGTGGAAGGAATCTCAGGGAACACCTAGTTTTACCCACTGTTTTATAATATATTAATGACCAAATATGATTAAGTTAGTGAATAATGGAAAATTGTCTTTTCAACTTCTACCTCATTGCTCTTTTCGTTGATCACGTTGGTGGGATGAAAAGGTGACTGCAGCTAATGGTTAAAATAAAACATTTAAATAAGTGTGCTTGAAAACACTTATTAGATACTATTATATTAATGAGAACTTCTGTGACAAGAAGTTACAAAGTTTCAATTAACATGATATGGTGATACAGTTGTGAAAGTGACTTTCAGTGAAATAATTTCAGATACAAAATACAGACATTTCAGATAATTTGGGGCCAATGTTGCTTTTGAATTGTGAGGTTTTCAAAAAGCAGTCTTGACCCAGAAATTAAAAAAAAAACAAAAACAAAAAAACAGCTTGATGAACTTCTTGGAAGATTTGAAGTAATTGCCATTACTACAAATTATTACATAAGAAATGCGATGCTGAAAACAGTAATGCTAGTGCCTTCATTTTGTAATGGTAGCTTTTTTATTGGGTGAATGGACATGACACTTAGATTAGCCCTTGTTAAAAGCAACTTTTTAAGATTTACTACTACTGAATAGTAGTAGATCTGTAAGATCTGTTAGGAAATTCAAAAGTAGCAAAATCACTTATGGTGGGATCCCTCAGTTCTTTAACTTCTTTGGATATCAAATATAACAAAAACTATTAAATCATATTGAGGTTTTAAAGCTTTTATTGGTCATTTAGGGTACATTTAAATCATTGATTTTTCTAAGAACTACTTCTTAATTTTCAACACTGAGTAGATTTAATTACATTTTAGTCATGTGATAAATCGGATTATTCTCAGATTATTAGTAATTACAAAGTGAGTCTGTTATCTGCAAACCTTAAATATTTTGCAGTTTTAATTTGTTATTCAAGTTATATGAGGAAGAGTTTTGGTGTGGTTGAATTGAGACTGTATTGGGTAGCATGAGAAGAGGAGAGACTCAAGGACAGTCACTAGAAGTGGTGAGGATACCTAAAATTTAGACAGATTGGTTGTCAGAAAAGATCAGGTTTATCCCAGATACACTGTTAGTGTTAGGGTTACCTATTTAGACTCTTCTCAGGGTGTGGGACCAAAGGAAAAGAGTGGATCTTATTTTTGTAGGAATGCTTTTCTCATGATTGCTTTTCAGGCAGCCTTGAAGGCAGCAGTTTGCCCTGAATTCAGAAATAGGTATGCTGAATTATCCAGTCCTAATTTTATACCAGTCCTTTTAAAAAAGTGTTTTTAATTTAATTGATAGCTGTATACAATAAAACATGAGAATAAAGAATAGCAATTATGATATTTTGGGTAGGCATTCAAATGAGCTCTAGTTTTTTACACTTATTATCATTAATCCCTATAAAGACTGTTTTGTAGATGGAATCTGTAAATGTTTACAAAGTTATGAGATACAGCAACGATTAAGGCAGTTCTAGATGTATTGTCTGTTAATAGAAATAGTTGCTTTTAATATTACAGACCATTTACATCTTTGAATTTTCAGAAAATTGACAGTAATCAATCTGATTCTAGCACTAGCTCACCCTGCTGGTTGGCTGAAGTATTTCTGTTCTTCTCTTAAAAACAAGTGTAAAGATCACTGGAGACCTGGAAGGTAGAATAGCAAATTAAATTCATGGTCTTTCTTCAGGAAGGTGGGGGTCTCCATGAAAAGGGTGTTTCTCATCTCTAGCGTCGTAGTTGCTCTACTGTTCATTTTTTTCTAAGATCTGCCAAATTTGAACTATGGAGTTACTATCTTTGAATTTAGGAGGAACTCTTAATTATGGGGAGATACTATGTTTTTGTCCTTTTCAAGGACAAGATTCAAGATAGGACATCCTTTGACAATTGAGAAATGTTAGCAAGAAAAACAAAAAGTCCTGTGACATAACTTTCCAGGAGGAGAAAAGCAGAGGATCTCAGGGGGAAGAAAAGAAGCATGGCAGGACAGAAGCAGCAGTGCACACTTCTGGATGGAGGAAAGTGAGGCTGGATTAAGATTAGTGTTTCTAAGATATTTCCTTTATACTCTCCCTCTACTAATCTTTGCTTTACTTCTTCTGTTTGCAAGCTGTAGCCTTCCCATTTCATTTGGGATTCTTGGAACTGTGATCTTGTAAGTAACTTTGTGAAAAGTATAGATAAGTGGTTTTTTCCTTGTAATTTAATTCTGTTAGTCTAGAATGTGGTACAGTTGAAGTTGGTTGGAGTGATAAATGTGATTTTAGGTATTAAGCCTTTAGTATGTATATCTTTCATTGAAGTTGAAAATACAGCTTTTAAAAGCTTTTAAAAGAGGTTTTGTACAAAGTCCAGAAACTTAAGTCAGGAGTGAAACGAATAATTTAAAATTAAAAAAAATGTAATGAAGCATTAGGATGAAAGTACTTTACAGTTTACAAAGCATGTTCATCTGTATTCTATCAGTTATATATCTTTTATAAAAGATTAACACTTTTATCCTTTCTTCTATGGTGTTTATCCTTTTATTTGAAAGCTGAATGCATATTTTTTTCATCAGTTTCTTGAGGAAGATGATGATATAACTAGTATTTTCAAAACACCCATTTATTGGAAAGAGAATGATGGCCATTTGTTTGTTGAATGGTTTGTGAAGGTGGATAAAAGCCTTGCCTGTTGCTTACTGTTGATTTGCTGAGTATTACACGCATACACACACAGACAAATGTGTATATATACACACACAGGAAATCATAGTTGCATTTATAATTGTATATGAATAAAGAGATAAGATGAGCTAAGGTTTAAAAGTGTAAGCTTTGAAGTAAAACTGATGGAGTTAAAATCTAGCTGTGGGGGGGGGGGGTACCTGGCTGGCTCAGTCAGTAGAGCATGTGCATGTGACTCTTGAGACTCGCTCTCAGGGTTGTGAGTTCAGGCCCACGCTGGGCATAGAGATCGCTTTAAAAAATCTAGCTCTGTGAGCATTAGGCAAGAGGATTTAACAATAATAATCTTCATAGAGGCTTAAAGTTTACATTACATAATTCATGTAAAGTCCTTAGCTTTCTGGTACACAATGGGTGCTGAGCAAATGTTAGCTTTTATAATAATAGTAATAGTTACTACTATTGTTTAATTTTTTTTATAATAACTTGAAATTTTCACCTGCGAGTGATTTGGAATTACATACTTTTGCTAGTGTTCCTTTTTTAGACCCATGTCTACAAAGGGAGGGCTGTTGATAAAGGAAGTTAGATGCAGGCATCAAAGTGTGCCTTCTCCAGTTCTAGCAGCAGAAGCTATTAACCAGGTTCAGTATTTCAGGAACACATTCCCTTTTAGTACTGTCAGCTGATGAATAAATGCACTTGGGAATGAGTGCATTTTAATGTGAAGTTGTTTCCCAGCCAATGTGTTGATTTATCTTGGTTAAAACATCCTGAATTTCTTTACTGTCCTTTAAATTTTTGACCATTAGTGGCGGGAAGAGGGTGCGTGGCTGGATGTATTTGTATATAATATACTTTTAAACCCCAGCTAAGAGAGAACAGCTTCAACTGCAGCTAGATTGAGGAGAGGTATGTTGTCATTTTGCTGCTTTGTCTGAGTCAGGAGAATTTCCTCAAACAGCATTTCCTTTTGCTGTTTTCCTCTCCATACTTTTCTTTGTTTTGTATTTGGGCTGGTATGGTCTTAAGCTTACTTGTATCTTTAATTTTTCTTCTACCACTTATGTCCCCCACCACCAACATAGATTCTAAGCTTTTTATTTAAAAGCTAGTAAAAGTAATGTGGCAGAGAGGTGTGAGCATGAAAAGTTAGAATTCTGTTTCAGATATGCTTAATATTTTCAGCAGTTTGGAAAATGAAGGAGAGAAAAGTCACCCATTTCTTATCACCATTATATAATCATTTGTATTAAAGGAAAGGGAGATGAGGGGCGCCGGGGTGGCGCAGTCAGTTAAGCATCTGACTTCGGCTCAGGTCATGATCTTGTGGTTTGTGGGTTCGAGCCCTACATCGGGCTCTCTGCTGGCTCTCTGCTGTCAGCTTGGAGCCTGGAGCCTGCTTTGGATTCTGTGTCTCCTGTTTTCTCTGCTCCTCGCCTGCTCATGCTCTCTCTCTCTCTCTCCCTCTCTCTCTCTCAAAAATATTAAAAAAAATTTTTTTTAAAGTTAAGGGAGATGAGACCAACATTAAGCATCTACTCTGTATTCCTTGTAATAATGTTTGATGTATATATTCCCGTTTTATATGCAAGGAAACAAACTCAAACTCAGGTCATGTGGATAGTAATTAGTACAGCAGCCAAGTTTGAATCTTAGGTATATCTTGATTCTATAGATGAAATCTTTCTACTCTGCTTTCCCCTCCTTTCTATCTGTACTTTAACCTAATTATACAATTTGTAAGTTTTATTTCCTACTTATAAAACATT